TTTTTAAAATTATTATAAATTTCACAAAATAGACATAGAACAATAATTACAATGGAAGAATCAAATATACAAGTAAATTAATCTCCTAGTACTTTTGAACTAGTTCAAACAGGTAATTAATTATACTATTATTATAATAAATTTTAATTAATATATTGGATATATTTAGAGCCTGAGGAACTTGGGTCCCGCAAAAAAAAAACTGGACGCAATAAACAAAATATGTAACGTAAGTTTTAATATTCAACTAAATGGAGCCAATTTATTCATTCATATTTTTTTATGATAGTGACTTGGACGATTTACTCACAGAAAGAAGGTAGCAATTCGGCGTGTACAGTGGTTGAAAGCACCTTGTGTGTAAAAGTTTGTGAAGAAGAAGCGCTTTCCACTTACTCATACATATAAACAGATAATATAATTATTTAAAAACATCTTCGTTTTTTAAAAAACTCCGAAATCCACAAAAAAGATAATTAATTACATCTACAAAAAAGTTTACGATGTATGAGCAGTAAATTGTTTTAGGAGAATACTTCGGAAAAGACGAAACAGCAGGCAAGTGGAACATGGCAGAAAAGGCGTGAAATAGAAGGAAGCAGGAACTGCTAAAAATAGTAATAGAGAAATTAAAATGATTTTACATAAATTAATATAACTAAATATGACATGTGATATATTGTTATGTAATAATTAAAAATAATAAATTTTAATTGAGTTTCTGCAATTTGAATGGAATTTGAATTGTTATTTATTCTTTCAGTAAATTGTTATTAATATATAACTAACTAATAGCATTTCTATAATAATGTCTAAATATTTGTCTTAATACAACCACCTAGACCCTTACTGCATTTGCTCTTAAATTTGGTGTAGTTTGAACATTTTCCTCGGCACCCTCTTATGTTGCGGCAGCTCCATTCACACAAAATTCGAGATCATCTTTACAAAGTGCATGAAGACTGTTGTATTTGCTCGAGTTTCAAAAAACACGATTCTCTTTAGCTGATCCTGGGCAGCCTACACAAATACTGATATTTTTCGCTCGTCACAAACATCTTTCAGACATAAGCTCATATTGTATTTTCTATCAATGTCGTCGTGTTTCCTAGATTTTGCGGAACAATTATAATGTGGGTTTCATCAATGCAACCTAGATTATTACAATTTTAAAATTATATCTCTTAATTGTTAACAAATTACCTTCAGCTTTAGTAAATCCAGATTTCTACTCGAAGAATTATTTTGACTGCATTTGGCCACTTCATATATTAAGATTTTAAAGAGCTCATATACATCGAGGCTTGTACAATCATAATCGAACCGATCACCTACATCTCTTAAACAGCACACCTCATGACTGAGTGAATTGGACGTGTTTCTTTGAGGTCTTAGAATATTTGCTACTAGATTTTCACCGTTATAAAAAAATAGTTTTGTTTGTGACTTGCCTGCCTCTTTTTCGCGGCAAATTTGTTAAAATATCAATTAGCTGCTTCTCCGTTGCGTTTCTCCTTTTTCGGTTTTGCTTTTGCTTATGCTTTTGGAGTTGAGTCAATGAAATGACAAGCAAGGTTTTAGCGCAGAAGACTACACATATCCACTGACAAGTGTTCCCAACTCTTTTCTAGCAGCGGTATGGCCTCTGAAAATAGTACGGGGTGTACACCAGATATTTTGGAGGAATTCTAAAATTTTAAGAACGCCTCCAAGAGACAAAAATGAAGAGTCCACTGCTGTTTTACCAACAAAAAATTGTAAAAATGCCGACCAAGCAAGCAAAGGGGTTCATATGGCAAAGAATCAAGTTGTATGGCAAGGCTTTTTTTGAGGAGGCTTGCACCTACTTGAGAATTACCATAGAATATAATATACCTAAAACATAAAATTATAATATATCTGGTTTTTTACTCACTATAAGAATATTCAGTTCCCCGGGACGTCAATTTGCTTGAGTTAAAAAAAGAAATTAAACTATACAATAATCACTATTCTTGAGCTCTATAGAACCGTTACAAATCCAGCCTCTCTAGTTTGCAATGCAATCGTTTTGTATTCTCGAATTAGATTAAGGTTTGACGGCAATCCACTAACTAATTGTAAGTCTGGGCAGTGATTAATCCGCTCCAGAATTGTATTCACCTGATATGAGGCGTTGTCAGCGTTAGGCAAAACTACACAAATTAGCGTGTGAAATACGATCGAAAGCAACTTCGATAAAAACAAAAATGCATATCCGAGAGGGTTTGGTATGGTACTCTGATAAAATAAGACTGTCCTACAGACTAATATATATGGCCTGTTTTTCGCAGACAGTGGAGGTGAATTCGAAGGATATCAGTATTTCTTATTTAAAAACGCTCTTTATAAGTATTATTTAGTATTTGTAAAAACTTGCCAGTTAACACAGTTTCGTGCTAAATTTTTACAGATAGTTTAAATTTCCATTATTCTCACAGCTCTTAATACCGATTGTAATGTGTGCCACCATTGTAGTTAATTTTATCCCATATATATGGTTGGTATATAAGGAATCTTCAAACAACTGTTTTATTTATCATTGTTTATAAATTTACAACGGAATCATTTAATGACCATTATGTATTCCTCATAATCGCTACATGCTAACTGCATTATCATTTCTCTACTTCAACTGCCTTAGCAACCTTAGCAGAGTTCACAACCCATCTTAAACACGACCTGTTGTTGTCGGTATGACAGTTTTCGGCGCAGCATACAGAGTGGCCTCGAGCATTTACATATTTTAAAGCCAAAAAGATAAAAATGAAAATTTATATTAATTAAGTGATTCATAACTTTTATCAAGTTATATGTTGATATCAGGTTTATAACGTATTTATAAACCGTAAAGTTTTAAATTTTTTCTTATCTCATAAGCTAATATTCTCGCCTTGAGCTCCAAGTTACAATAATATTTAATTAACATGTATAAAATATTGTTGAAATCATTTATTTATTTTACTTTGGATTTCATTAAATACATTTCACAAGCATAAACGTCTGAATCCGCTACTGAAACCACAAAAAGTTCAAATATAGGCAATTAATTACTTTGCCTGATAACACCTACCACTATCAATCACATACAAACAAACTAGAATTTTCACTAAATATGGACATTGATAAGGTTATTAAAATTAATTAGTGAACACATATGCAGTGCATTAACTTTTAATTAAATTGCATTAGGTACAACGGAGGAACTTGATTTGTAAAATAATGAGTATAAAGAGATTAACAAAACACACAAAAATAAAATTAAAATAAACATTATTAAAAGCCAAGTAAGAAAGAGCTGAGTTCGGGTGTAACCCAACATTTGATAATCTCAGAATTGGCTGCAAGCAAAGCTAAAGCAAACTGCTAAGAGCTCAGTATGCCTATAGTAAAGGCAGGCCGATCTAAAATGCCTCGCACTCAGTGTTGTCATGGACCTTCAATAATGTGCGACCGGAGACTGTTATTAAGGTCCTCGCACAAATTGAGGTGGAGTCGAGCCCCAAGCACCCCAAATTATGTCGCTTTTGTGACAAAGCGACAGAACTGTCATAGCGGTGAGGGGTAGTGCACCTGCAATAAGTGCTAACTGAAAGAATCCGAATAGCGTTACTGTCGGATGATAGCATAAGCTAACGACATTGCTCTTATTGTATTGTAAAAGGAAAATTTATTACTACCGTCGACGAGCTAACTCGAGGATACCTCAACGTGATGTCCAACTGGGAGGTACGGCCTAGCCTTCATTAAGGACAGAGTAAGGAAGGCAGTAGCGCTGTTAGAATCACGAATGTGTCGACCGACGGAGGGAAGTTTTCAGCAAGGAGCTCTTCGTAAAGTTTAGTTCTGGCCTACTGTATTACTGCTGTGTCTTTCAGGAAGTGCCTGCTATTAAGGCAGCAGTAGATGTATTGCTCAGAAGTGCAGCTTCTTTCTCGGAAGTGAACATTTATTTCGCCAGTAGAGCGGCAATACTAGCTTTGAGCTCGCCCACTGTGCACTTAAAGTTAGTCAAGGAGTGTCTGTCCTCACTAGAAATAGCGAGATTCTTCTGGCTTAGATTAGAACGTAGAAAATCTACTGAACTAATTGCTATCAGCAAGGTTCATCTTCTCACATGCGGTAAGGGTAAATGTCTTATCGGACGCCAATTATCAAAGTTGTATGGAGGAAGGTGAGGTTGAAACATACAAGCACTTTTTTCTCCATTGTTCAGCTTTTGCAAGACTGAGACTAAAAAATATCGGCAGTCGTGCTCTCGACAACCAGGAGAGATAGCCAAAATGAATATTGTCGCGACAAGAAATTTCTGGTAGATTCAAAGCGCTTAGTCGGTAAAAAGTTGACTGAGTAGGTACGGGGGTCCACATGTTCGATACCTGGGGGCTTCTTGTCCACTTTCGACTAAGTTTAGACATGATATGGCATATCTTATAGGCAATATTACTTATATAACCAAGTTTAGAAGGAGCCCATTTTGCTGTTTGCTAGTAAACTTTATAAAAATGTATTTTATGTATTCTCATTATTATATATATAATATCACATCGCACTTTCTTCCCGATTACGTTGCTTGATCGGTGATTGTTTAAAGTATAATTCTTATTGCGAAATTTATTATGGAAATTTGAAAACTTGGACGGATTCGAAGATCAGCTGCAAATAATTATTACAATTATATATTTTTTTACGATTCTGCAAACCTTTATGAATTAAATTATTATAAAGTTAAGAGCGTATTAAAATTAATAATTAAAATTAATTGAATAACCTTAATTAAAACATAAGGAATATCAACACTGGCAAATATTCTTCGACTTCGAATAACAACTGTAATCTCTGCTCAAACAAGAGCCAATGCTCTCCACCATTGTCTTTGGGTGGACAAAATAGAGCGAGCAAGTTCGTTTTACAGCGCCGCTTGTGTTGCGGAATTCGACTAACGGTGCATGTGTGCGGCAAACGGTTTGTGTGAGGGTAAGCGCCAACGACGAGCGGCGATTGCTTTGAATGTGAGTTTATGCCACACAGCAGCGTAATGCGATTCTCATTTAGTACGGTGCGTAAACCCCTCGCGAATGGAAGCCTTTTCGAACTGAGGCGCTGGTCAAACGCAGTGAACGTGACACCTAAGCACATATCATACCACTACAGCACAGCAAAGCACAACCAAGTGATTTTTTTTTGGTGAAGAGGAAAAATTAAATTTCACGCTAGTTGAATAAAAGATTGTGAAAAGGCCGAAATCAATGCATGAAAACGCATTGGAAATGTGCAACGAAGTGAAATTTAGCCGATTTTCAACACGAAAACGTGTGGAAGGATAGTGAAATTCGTTTTTAAAACGTCTAACTTTTTTTCGGCATTTACTCGCTTTGGCTCTGGTTTTGTAAAGCGTGTAGTAGAGCAATTTCAACTGTAATATTGTAGTACTTTTATGCTAGAATTTTCGAAATCACCAAAAAATGTGAAACGAGTGTGAAAAGTGAATTGTAAATTGGAACAACGAAAGGAATGAAATTAAATTTCTAAAGCGAAATTCATTTAACAAAAACGCGAAAAAAGTTGAGCAGAAAATACGAATGTGTGTGAAGCATGAAAAAGGCCATTAATTTTCGAAATAAATATCTTTCGGCAGTGATGTGAATACATATGAAAATTTGTGTGTGGAAATTTTGCTGGAGCATTGAATTGTAAGTCGTTTTCGTCGTTTCATATATATTTCATACATATCGTTTCATTTCTTTTACTCGGCTGCTGCTGCTGCAGTGCAGCCCCACAATTCCGAATGAGAAAATCTCTGTACACCACAATTTCTTATGCGTCGGGCGAGTAAAGCAATGTTTTCGGGTTGGCAGGCAACAAAGCCAAGGGAACGGACATGCACATACATACAAACACATAAGTGTGTTTGCGAGTTAAGCCCAACACGACATACTCGACTTCGTCTACGCTGGCTTCTTTTCGTAAGCGCCAACCGCGACCCCGCCGTTAGTCAGGCATTGCTTCTGGGCCGAACGGCCGGTGGGGGTATGCTTGCAAGGGGCTGGTGCTGGCAGGTGTCCCATTAAGAACAGAGGCGCGCCGCTTTGTGCTGACAGTGTATGCCACAATTACATACACACACACACACACACAAAGGTACATAAACAATTCGTAATATATTGACTGTGGGGAGGGTTGTAAGTTTCAAACCCCAAGGGCTGAAAACAAGTTAGGGAGCAAGCATGAAATGAAAAAGTACGCGTTCAATGAAAAACATTCGAAATTTGGCATTTTCGAATATTTCACAGATATTCGGCGAAAACGGAAGTAAACTGTTTTGGCATGCGGATTTTCGGAGATGCAGAGGCGCAACGGTAAAATAAAAAGCGAGTATAGTGGTGAGAGCGAATGCATAATGAGGGTGATGCAGCTAAACGCGCGCAAGCACGTGAGCGAAGTTAGGTGTGCAGAAAGAGAGACAGAAAAAAGAAATGTATTAACAGTTAACTTTAGTGCGAGTGGGACGGCAGTAGTGTGTAAACATATTTACTACACATTGTGTGAGAGCGCAATGTTTTTTACTAACGAGAGCGCTTACGAGGGAGAACGCATACGAGCGAGAGCAGATAGGAGTGAGAGCACGTACGAGCGAGTGTCCTTACATGCGAGCGCTGCACTCCGAGAGTGCGCAATTTGGAGTGGGATTCAATGCAGACGCACACACACACAACCATAGTTATGTGTGCGTAAAGGCGCGCGTTCGGGAATGCTCGATACTTACTTACTTACTACTGAATGAGTCGTTGCATTATAATTGATTTCATGCTTTGACATTTCAAGGATTAAAAAAGGAGTCGACAATGTGCATATGTAACGGTGCCACAAATAAATGCGTGTATGATACTTTAGCGCCACCGTTGCATATGCGCGTGTGTGTGTGTGCGTATTACATATTGCCATTGTGGGTAATAATTTA